CAATAGCTCTGTAAATGTGAATGAATGTAAGAAATGCTATTTTTGAGATTTTTCCAAAACAAATATTTCAAACCTACGTATCTATAATTTGTCCTTTTTAAAATGAATGCCTAGTTTTTTGTAAGATTGATTTACAGCATAATGTAAATTGTCTGGTATCCCATGATGCTGTGCAGACAGAGAGCCAACACAAGGCTTGCGCCATTATCAAAATATAGTGTTTAAAAGCACAATCAGTGCATCGTGAATATTCTAAAACCCGTACAGGTACATTAATACACAGAAATACGTACCCAAATGTTGTAAAACAAAGTTATTAAGGTTTCCCTTAAATTAACACTCCAGGCACCAGTACTAATAAAATGCATTTGATAGATTTTGGTCTCAATAATATGCTCTATTTTGTGCATAAATAAATAAATTTATTATTTTTTATTTTCGATTTTTTAAATAAATTTTATTTTTTTATTTTCTGAGGGTCTGCGCAGTATCTTGGCAGTTCATAGTACTGCACTCTTCTGGACAGCGATCTCAGATGTCCCACCTGGAATCTGTTGAAGTCACTCCTACAACTTGGGGTCACAGTCCCGAGTGCTCCTATCACAACTGGGACTACTACTGCCTTCACTTTCCAGCTCTTATTTCAGTCCTTGGTATTTGTCCATCTTCTCATGTGCCTTCTTCCTGATGTTACATTCACTGTGTATTGCCACATCCATCACCACTGCAGTCTCTTTCTTAGCTACCACTATCACAATGCCAGGTTGATTGGCTTGTTTGTCTGTCTAGATCTGAAAGTCCCACAGAATCTTAGCCTTGTCATTCTCAACTACCCTTTGTGGCATCTCCCATCTGGACTTAGTCAGGTCCAGCCCATTTTCTGTGCAGATGTTTCAGTACACAATCACAGCAATTTGATTGTGTCTTTCCGTGTATGCTGTTCCTGCTAACATCCTGCAACCGGCCACTATGTTCTGGATTGTCTCAGTGGTCTCTTTGCACAGTCTGCACCTTGGGTCTTGCATGATGTGGTAGATCCCCTTCTATTGATCTGGTGCGGAGTGCTTGTTCCTGTGCTGCTAGGATCAATGCCTCAGTACTGTCTTTCAGTACTGCCTTTTACAACCACCGGTAGGATTTTATAATGTGAGCCACATCCACTGTCAGCCGGTGGTACACCCCATGGATAGGTTTGCCTTGCCACAGGACCTCCTCCTTTTCTGTGGGAGCAATCTTAGAGATGTACTTGTGGATGCTCTGTGTTTCATCCAGGACTGTGGCCTTGACACTCATCAGGCCCGGCCATCCTTCCTTCCAGCTGGTGTACAGTATCTGGCTGCTGGATTTTGGGTTAAATCTTTCATTAATAGTGAATAGTTTCCTGGTCTTAACATCCATGGTGATCAGTTCTTCTCTTGGCCAGGTTAATTATTCCAGCTGGTCACCTAATAAATGGTAGGGCATATGTGTTGATGGCCTGGATCTTGTTCTTGCCATTGAGCTGGGATTTAGGCCCTGTCTGACTCTCTGAAGGTACTTAGATATTACTTTCCACCTAGCCTCTTCCTCATGGTTGCTGTGTGTTTGTGGTACCCTGAGGTACTTGTAGCTGTTTTCTACATCTCCTATTTGGAATTCTGGTACTTCTGTCCCGATCATCTTCTCTCTTTTTGCTGTCATTCACCCACACTTATTTAATCTGAACGACATTCCTTGCTGTATATCCTAGTTAGGTGTATCAGTGAGTCAATGTCCTACAGCTTGATGCCGTCCATGTAGAGCAGATGGCTGATGGTAGCTCCATTCTTGAACCTGTGTCCATATCCACTCTTCTTGATGATCTAGCTAAGTGGGTTTTTGTTATAATAAATTTGCACTGGTTTGAAAGGTCTTGAGGGTGTCACCAAATGTTTGCAGTGATATATTTATAGAGCATTAGATTGCACCCAGGCAAATGCTGGTTTTAAGGCAGAGTGTCCATTTGTAACTATCGGTCTGTCTATCTCTATATCAGTCGGTCTGTCTATCTCTATATCAGTCGGTCTGTCTATCTCTATATCAGTCGGTCTGTGTATCTCTATATCAGTCGGTCTGTCTATCTCTATATCGGTCTGTCTGTCTATGTGTATAATAATAAATAATATTTGTGGAAATAATAAAGTCATCAGTGACGATTGGTTCATAAGGTAAAGTAGGAGTACTCTTTATGTCCATGTCTTTAGCTAGGATTTACAACTACAGAAAAAAAATTATTATAGATCATTGGTTCCGCCCTGGAACTGGTTGGTCCCATGAGGTAAATGAGTTTAGAAGAGGCTTTATTTCTTTATTGTTCACTTATTCTTATTGAGAATACAAAATGTCAAATCACACACTTTTCTGTTTTCACAAAGTTAATAAAGACATTAAATGGAAATAAATGTTCGGTTCACTGGATAATAAACACTGCTTTGCTGTCACCACCATTGTGTTGCTATCAGTGAGATTAATGGGACGTATGTCTCGAATGCTTGTAATGGCATTCCCGCAAGACACTTTACAGCGTGCACAGATAGGAAAATATTAGCAATTCTCTTCTGTGTTCAAATCTGTAATAAGAGAAATGCTGTGGTGGGAATGGGAAACGGTGCAAAGACAAATCAATCAGGGCTGTGGCAACGAGCAAATACTATGTAAACAAAAAAAAGTACATTTTGCTATATTGAAATGTATTGCCGTCTATCTTGTTAAATCTTACAGTAGAAGGGCAAAAGTTGGACTGAAAAAGAAAAAGAAATATAAACAGAAATCAAGGAAGGCATAGTAATTTTAAAGTGTAAACTTGCTTGTCTCATGCCCAGAAGCTAAGGATAATACAATTCAAATATATTTATACTCTAAAAGCAAAAATAAAGTCTGATAATTCTCAGGTATATAAAGTTACAGTTGAGGGGGTAAGACTGTGAGTGCTATAAATTATAATTACACCTAACGACTTCAAAAAGGACATTGTAATAAAATGTATCAGTTTTCGTATTTTAGAGGCAACCTGCGGGAAATATCCGCCATTATATAGGTTGGGTTCCTAGTGGGAAGTACACTGTATCAAAGGAAGACAGTGTGTCGAAAAAGTATTTAATAAAAGAAGCAACAGTTCTGGAATGAATTTTTATTTTTTATTTTTTTTTAAAAAAATGCAGAAGGTATTCTTGACCTGCATCAATGAACAGCACTTAATATCCGATCACCATAGTAATTGACAATTGGCCACTGTGAGGTAAGTCAAGCGTTAAAATGTTACACAATCTAGAGTAGACTAGAGGTGTAATAAAATAGACCGGTATTAACAAGTACCATACAAACAAGGTTTGCAAGAAAAAATACAGATGTCTCATTTATGTCTATTAGAATGTTTGTTATAAATATTTGTGTGAAGCATATTCTTTAAGGATTCAGCAAAGGTCCAAGGCCTCGATTTAATATATGTAAAAAAAAAAAAGTAATATATAAAAAAAAATATAAAAATATATTAAATCATTTAAAAATGTTATCCAAAATTATTAAATTGAAGCCTAAGATAGACTAAGGTAAAATTTCCTACAGAAAACAATTTCCTTTGCAAATCTCTGAAAATTTTTCATGAGCTATCTAAAAACTTGCAAAAAACATTTCTATGTGTTCCCAGTTTAAGAAAAAAGTGTTATTCCAATAAGATGTGCAAGATAGAGGAGTAAGCTAGTTGTGAAAGGTAGATGGACTAGAAAAGATTGACACATATTTGGAGTTTGAATATGTGCCATGGTGATGTTCCTAGTGCTTGTAAGATCTGGGTATGGGAGCTGGTACATCCCAAACCAGAGTCTTTTGCCTCTGGCCGTAACTAGGTATTGGTCAGGAGAGAGTACAGGGAAGCAGCACCTTCTGGATGTCCTCAGATTCGTATGGTGACTCACACCCATACGAATTTCAGGACATCCAGAAGGCGCTGCGTCCCTGTACTCTTTCATGACCCATACCTATTTGTAGTATGAGTATCGAAAACACTCAAATGATACCAGCCATTAACAGATTGTGATATTCTGATATAATTTACATGAAACCAAAAAGACATTCAGGGACTGAGAAAGGGGGGCAGGAGCTTAGAGGGGGGAGAGGGGCTGAGTGGGGGGACAGAAGAGGACAGGAGACAGGGTTGAGGAAGGGATACAGGGGCTGAGGAAGGAGGGACAGGGGCTGAGGAAGGGGGGACAGGGGCTGAGGAAGGGGGGACAAGGCTAAGCAAAGGGACAGGGGCTGAGGAAAGGGACCTCTTCTACTCAACTGCACCTAAGGGAGAAACTAGTTTGTTGCTACAATACCTTATCTTAACTATTTCTAATATGTGCTGAATGTAGCATTCATTGGGTTTATATAAAATGTGCTGATAGCCTATGTGTTTGTCTTCCTGTGGACATGTAACTTGCGAATACTATTATCTTTTACTTTTACAAATGTTATTTTGTCCTTAACACACGTAAGCACAATTAAAATAAAGAATGTAAAAAAAAAAAAAAAAAGCCCTTCTGCTACACTACAACCTCTTCCTCAAGGCAAATAAATCCATCCGTATACATCTACTTGTCAGCTGTCAACTCAAGACTATTTTTTAATGTATTAATCCTTTTTTTATTGCATTTAAAAAAAAAAAATATATATATATATATATAAAATATATATGCTTCTGTTCAGGGAGTGAAGCATGAAAGATCCAGGGATCTTAAGACAAATAAGGAATAGCAATTCTAAACACCTAAGAATATCAGTAAATTCACTAGAATGACCAGTTTGTATGTGCAGCACACCTTTTTATGGTTAAGTATAATTTGTGTGGGGGGCGGAGCCTGACCACGAGCGGGAGCGGACGCAACACAGCACAGCTCCCGACCAAAACCCGCATCAAAGCCTGCTGTTTGAGGCTTAAAACCCTCAACTGACCCACTCCCGACCAGGGGCACCATTTGTACACAGCCCAGCATCCCCCCATGCCGTTTGTATATGCGGCACGGGTGAACCGACGAAAGCGCAGACCCGCGGCCTACAAGCCCGCAGCAGCCCTCGACTGGTCGGCGCTCCTGGGCAGACTTGAACAACCAGGGGACCCAGAAGTGGAAGACCTCCCCACAGCACTCCCAACCACCCAGGTAGCAATGGACCGCCGGTCCCAAACACCTTCACTGGAGACGCCATCAGGGTCCAGGGACATAGGTACCATGCTGCAACAACAACGGCCACCGGCCAAAATGGCGGGAACAGCGGAACATGATACCATACAGGTACCAAAAGACCCTATACTGCCTGACCTTTCCCCAGAAAGGCCACAAACGCCCATGGGGATTCCAGATGGGTCTGCCCCAGTCACCCAGCGGGACTTTCAACACCTAATTGGGGAAATCAAAAACCTCTTGGCAACCAGCATAGCAGCCATTAAAACAGATGTGAAGGCTATCGCTGACAGGGTGCAGTCCACGGAGCAGGATGTCTCTGGCATCAAGCTGGGATTAGCAACCTTACAGGACTCTGTACTGGCCCTACAGGCCCAACAACAAGCACTTTCTCTCCACTATATTGCCCTCAATGACAGGACAAGACGCAACCACATTAAGATCAGGGGAGTGCCAGACGCCATCACATCAGATGACTTGCCTCACTATTTGACCTCACCAGATCCACGCTTCAATGGCGAAGATCGCTGAACCAAGTCACCAGCACCCTCAGAGAAGCGGGAATAGAATACCACTGGAGATCTCCCAGATTCCTGGTGGTCACACATAACGGAACTGTCTATAAACTCTCCACACTTACAGAGTTCCCGGCATTCTGTCAGGCACTGGGCCTTCCAGCACCCACGCAAGACACCAACCAACGATCCACACCGGAGGCCTGACTCCCCCAAGAGCCGCAGAGGCATCAACAATCAAGACACGCACTGTTCAGCTAAAGACGTGATGTTTATAATCAGTTAGCCTTGAGCCATACCCAGTTTATTTGTTCCCCCATCCAAAAAAAAAAAAAAAAGAGCGGCCGCTCCATATCCAGTCCCCCCCCCACCGAGGTCCTCTCAGACTAGGGGTTCGTTTTGAAGAAGGCCATAACTCTACAACCCGACAGGGTTGCATTTAAGCCCATCCCTACCATACAGCCTTTCTCCCGGAGCAGTTCACACACTCCTGATAATGTGCCAATGCTGGTCCACACCTTCTGTGACTAACTAATGTTCACACACTGTTGTTCACCTTATATTGCAATATATGAATAAGTGTACTGTATGTTTATTGTGTTTCAAGACCCGCATGGGTACGATAAAAAAACAAAACAAATTTCAATAAAAAAAGATTGACAAAAAAAAAAGTATAATTTGTGTGTCTAGTTGCTAGGACTATATAAGCACGCGATATGTTATTTGATTCTTTTTTTTTTCCATTTCTACAGGCACCTTTTACAACTCTCTGTGTTTATGGTACAGGAAGAAAGTAACTGTATTACTGAGTTCAATAAAGTAATACGATAATGATTTATTGTGAGAACAAACAATAAATCCTAAGTATAGTAGACAGGTATTGGAATCTGATATGTGGCTAAAATATCGCCATGTATAAAACACGTAGTGTGATCCTAAAAAGACACAGAGCCTACGTACATACGTATAAACAATTAACCCAGGTGGAGTCGGAAAAAAATCTGTCTTGATGTTGATGACAAAAAGAAATGTATTCATTGAATAAATGTAGAAAGTAATGAAAGACGTTGGAGAACAACTGAGAAAGGGGGAGATAAGTAGAAAGGTAAATGTGTCGGGTGTTGGGAAAGTGGATCTGGGAGCTTCATAAAACAAAGAAATTCTCTTATCCACATTTTGAATGCACAAATAGACTTTCCAGGAAGGTATTATAAACCTGAACCCATTGTTTATCTAAATGTACGGATCTTAGCAAAGAATCACAACCTTTCCTTACAATTGTGTCATTATGGTTGTAAAACCATCACCTCCTCCCCTTCAAAACAAGCAGAAATAATCTGGGTAAAAATATATATTAGTTTTTTATCAGTAAAGTCTAATGGACTTTCTGTGTCTGTCTTTATTCTTATAGTAAGTTATTATTTCTGTAAATATCTCTTACAGCGAGTTCTTTTTGTAATCATCGTAAGAGTTATGATACCAGTGGGGAGGAGGGGGCTATCAGTTTTGGTAAAGCACCAATTCCAGAACACTGTGCATGTTTGGATAAAAAACAAGGTTATACTTTAATGTTCTAAGAAGATGACCCTAGGTTATTTCTATAGCTGTCTGTGTATTAAACTGTAAGCATGTTTCATTAACCCCTTAGTGACCAGACCGCTTTTCAATTTTCTTACCGTTTAGGACCAGGGCTGTTTTTACATTTCTGTGGTGTTTGTCTGTAATTTTCCTCTTAATCATTTACTGTACCCACACATATTATATACCGTTTTTCTCGCCATTGAATGGTCTTTCTAAAAATATTATTTTTATCATATCATAATTTACTATAAAAATTATAAAATATGATTAAAAATGTAAAAAAACAAACAAAAAATAAACACTTTTTCAAACTTTGATCCCCAAAATCTTTTACACGTCTACAATCGCCAAATAACACCCGTGCTAAATAGTTTCTAAATTCTGTCCTGAGTTTAGAAATAATCAATGTTAACATGTTTTTTTGGAAAGTTATAGGGCAATAAGTACAAGTAGCACTCTTTTTCCAAACCATTTTTTTTTTCCAAAAGGAACGCAAGTTACATTGTAACACTGATATCTGTCAGGAATTTCTGAATAACCCTTCACATGTATATATTTTTTTAAAAGAAGACAACCTAAGGTATTAAACTTGGGGAATTTTGACTATTTGCATGCAACTATTTTACCACCAATATATGCCATATTTAAAAATAAATGAAATATTGGTGATTTTTTTTTGACACACATAGCAATCTAAGAAAATATGTACTGAGAACTTTAAATGTTACTGCCTAAGAACACCCCTATATGTGTTCAGCAACATCCCCTGAGTACAGTGATACCCTCCATGTATACGTGTGTTGGTTCTCTGGGGGCTAAAAGACCTTATTTGGAGGGTGCGCATTCCAGTTTTCCAACTTGGAATTTTCACAGCTGGTCATCATGCACCCATGTCCTATTTGGGACATTTTTAAAGCCGGGCAATGTAATTTACCCCCATCAAACCATATAATTTTTGAAAAGTAGACAACCCAGGGTATTCAATATGGGGTATGTCCAGTCTTTTTTAGTAGCCACTTAGTCACAAACACTGGCTAAATATAGCATTTATATTTGTTTGGGTATTAAAAATGCAAAGAAACGAATATGAACACTAACTTTGGCCAGTGTTTGTGACTAAGTGTCTACTAAAAAAAGACTGAGCATACCCCATTTAAAATACCTTGGGTTGTCTTCTTTTGCAAATGGTACGCCATCATGGGGGTAATTCTCATTCCTGGGCTACCATACGCTCTCAAAGGCAACAAAACCAATCTGGCAAATTTCAATGTGAAAAAACGGCCTTATATTTGACCTTGTAACTTTCAAAAACACTATAAAACTTGTACATGGGGGGTACTGTTATACTTGTGAGACTTCGCTGAACACAAATATTATGGTTTCAAAACAGTAAAACATATTACAACAATGATATCAGCAGTTCAGGCAGTCCCCCTACTGGCAACACAAGGGATGCCTATTGCGGCCATGTGACTGCTCTTTCAGAGCGATCACATGGCCCCTGGGGTTCTAATTTGCCAAGGGGGGCTGCCAAACAGTCCCCCCAGTGAAGAAGAACACTGATCGCCAGCCGGGGAATGGAGGGAGATTGGGAGGAGGGGAGGAGTTAGTTTTTTAAAAATTATTTATTTATTTTATTTAATCTTGACTGAGTGCCTCGCTCCCCCAAGGCACTCAGCACAGGCAGAGCACCGGAAAGCCTACCCGGTGGCGTCTGATGCTCTGCCTCACTGCCAGGCGCCACGTGGGGCAATCCAGAAGTGATCGCTCTAGGGGGAGCGATCACCTGGTGGCCCAGCAGTGAGAGAGGGTATTGTAGGATGCCTTAACATCGAGGCATTGCTGCAATACCATCATGATCACTTCCAGTCAGTGGCGTACTAATGGGCGGAGGTGGCGGTCCGCCCCGGGTGCCACTAGGGTAGGGGGTGCCATGACCCTGGTCTGGGAGCTGCAGGGGGCTGAGTGAGTTGTGGCCGCACAGTGCCCCATGGTAGATAGGGTGCCGGGCGGCCAGAACAGCTCACACACTCAAAGAGCAGCTGAACTGGCTGCACAGAGGTAAATTGGGGGTGGGGCTAATAAAAAATCGGGGGCGGGGCCAAACTGGCAGCGGGGGCAGGGCTTGATATGGCCCTTACCGGTTTCTGCTGTCACTGCTGCACATGGAGGTGCAGCAAGATGGAATCCACGCCTCTCCACATGCTTCAGGGAATCCAGTCCTCCTTCAACCCACTGTCTGTAAGTAATAGTGTGTGACTGTGATCATGTGTGTGTGTGTAAAACTGTCTGTAACTGTATGTGTGTGAGAGACTGTCTGCCTGTAACTTTGTGTGTATGTGTGTATGTGTCTGCCTGTAAGTGTGTGTGTGTGTGTTTAACTCTCTGCCTGTGACTGTGTGTGAGTGACTGTATTTGTGACTGTCTGTTTGTGACTGTGTGCTTGTGACTGTGTGCTGCTGTTGTGTGTGTGTGTCAATGTATGTGACTGTCTGCCTGTAACTGTGTGCATGACTGTCTGTGACTGTATGTGCGACTGTCTGCATGTGACTGTGTCTGTGACTGTGTCTGTAACTGTGTGTGCAACTCTCTGCCTGTGACTGTGTGTGTGAGTGACTGTATATGTGACTGTCTGTAACTGTGTGCGTGACTGTCTGGCTATGACTGTGTGTGACTACATGTAACTGACTGTGTGTGACTGCATGTGACTATGTATGTGGGACTGTCTGCCTGTGACTGTTTGATGTTGCCTGTAAACGTGTGTGTGTGTGATTAACTGTCTGACTGTGTGCATGTGACTGTCTGCTGCTGCCGTGTGTGTCAATGTATATGTGACTGTCTGCCTGTAACTGTGTGCATGACTGTCTGTGACTGTATGTGCGACTGTCTGCATGTGACTGTGTCTGTGACTGTGTCTGTAACTGTGTGTGCAACTCTCTGCCTGTGACTGTGTGTGTGAGTGACTGTATATGTGACTGTCTGTAACTGTGTGCGTGACTGTCTGGCTATGACTGTGTGTGACTACATGTAACTGACTGTGTGTGACTGCATGTGACTATGTATGTGGGACTGTCTGACTGTGACTGTTTGATGTTGCCTGTAAACGTGTGTGTGTGTGATTAACTGTCTGACTGTGTGCATGTGACTGTCTGCTGCTGCCGTGTGTGTCAATGTATATGTGACTGTCTGCCTGTAACTGTGTGCATGACTGTCTGCGTGTGACTGTCTGCCTGTAACTGTGTGTGACTGTATGCCTGTAACTGTGTGTGTGACTGTCTGCCTGTAAATGTGTTTGTGGGGCTGCAGGGATTTTGTAAAGGGCCAGGGTTTTGTATTGACAGGACTTTATAAGGGGGATAAGCAGGGGATTTGTGGAAGGGGGTTGCGGGGGTTTTGTAGATGGGGGCAGTACAGGATTTGTAGAAGTGGACAGGA